GGGGGGGGGGTTGTACTTGCGGTCATAACTACAAGGAAATCTGATCGGGCTGCAGTGGTGCAGCCAAGCGTCCTGCCACGCGCAGAGTGTCCAGTAGTGTGCCTCGGAGAGACGCGAAACCCAAGGCGGGAGATGAGTAGGCGATTCGCGCGAGGAGCATCTGCGCGCCCCTCTCCCTCGCACTCACAGAGAGTATATCTCTATCTCCCACGCACTCGTCGGCAGAGCAACCGCGCGGGGAGGGCCGGAGTTGCCAGGGCGGACACACCATACCGTGTCGTAAGCGATCGGAGTCGGAGGTCGTTGGCGGATATACGAATATCCCTTTATCAAGGCTCTGCATCGGGCTGGGCCGGGCCCCCTTCGACAGTCTGATTCGAGTAAGTACGTGAACCAGGGGGGAGCGACCGGCAGCGGGCCGCGACCGAGTGCTGGGTTTGTCTGATCCGACTTTAAACTCGCTTTCCTTTGCCCGCCTCTTAGACCATGGTGGTCGTTCGCGGCACATCTTATCGCTATTCGCTAAAAAGAAAGTCATCTCAGCAAGTCGTATTGTTTTCATTTTCTGTACGATGTTTTTTCACTCCGTCATTGGGGCGAGTCATTGCCACCCACCGCCCAATGAGACGGCCGCAGGCTCACCGGTGACGGTGAGCGATCTAATCCCCAGGTGGCTGACGAGCCCCGCGCGGGTTGCTCTGAACCGACCGCATGCGTGTTCGCGGGTGGCCTATCCCTAGGTGCTGTAAGGCGCCATGGCTAGATACGGCATAGGCTTCCCGGCCACATGCCTGCTCCACGCTCGACACCATAGTTAGAAAAGTACCCCCCCCCCCCTTTTTCAATCGGAGCACCGACGCGACGCGAGTTTTAACAAGGCCCTTAGGCTGTGCGCGCTCGAATGAGTGACATCGGCCAGCAATAAGTTGGTCACTCTCCGCCCTGCCGCGCACGCTTGTTCCTGCTTGGGTCGACAGGGGGAGAAGGGGTGGGGGGCAATATTTTGGACCGCGGGCAGCGCAGTTGCATTTCGTATTGCATATCGCTCATGACCCGATCGCTCGACCCGACCCCGATGGCGCGGGTTTCCCGACGCCCGCGTCACCGCCAGGCGCCGCCAGAGCGTGCGTGCAGTGCTCACGATCCGACTGATGCATAAGTTCACTGTCACGGTCGCTGGGGGTCAGTCGGCATTTGAACTGATTGCTTCGAAGAGATTCTCGAGGGGGGCACTAGGTCTATTATAAATTATTTCGGAAATACGTGCCACGTGTCAGGAAAACAAGGGCATCGTCAGAGGTTTTACATTTAATCCAACACCACAGAAAAAAAAGTTTCCTTGAAACAAGGGAATTTCCTTGAAATTAGCCTTAAATCAACGAAATCAACTTTAAAACGTTTTTTTTTTCTTATCGCAAGGAAGAATTTGCCGTAATTTGAAGAAAAATCTTTATCTCAAGGATTTTGTTTTTCGATAAATGAAGGAAATTTATTTGGAACAAGAGAAAAATTCCCTAATGTTCTTTCAAGGTTACGACTCTTTTGGGTGTATAGACGCATGTCAGGGATTTGAGTCTAACGGTGGTGGGAGGGAAATTCGGTCACATTCGTCAATCTCTCCTTTTTACGCATTTTCTGATGATTCCTGGTATTTTTCTCCCGCTATGCGTGTTTTTAAAAAGTCTTAGAAACCGTGCAAATTTTCGGTAATAATGCAGTCATAAATTCAGATGTAAAAATATTTGATTTTGCGCTGAGATTTTGATTTGTTGGTGACTCTCTTAGACCTTCCACCCGCACGTGCGGTGTGGTATTTGCAGTGTACGATTTAGTATGAATTTGAAACCCACTGTATGTACCTGCACCGTATGCACTGCGACTCTCGCACTTAGCACGTGCGGGTGGAAGGTCTAAGAGAGTCACCAACAAATCAAAATCTCAGCAAGGTTTCCTTATCATCACTACAGTGGAGTGAGATTCCAAAATCTATCGCTCTAATAGAACGAGGAAATCAAACCTCGCTCACCGGAAAGCTAAGAAATTTATAGCAAATTCTCACTAATTTTGAGTGTGAAATCCTCGCCTTGGGATCTCTAGTGTAGAGACCATCTTCGCAACGCCCCATCTAGAGGCCGGGTACCGACGTCCCTCAACAACTAACTTGGCCCCCCAAAACTCACCTCTCTCTGTTGTTGATATCTGGAACAGCGGAGTCCCTTTCCAAATCCATACGCGTTGTCACACACGGAGTGAGAGAGACGGCTGCTGCTCGCTCGGGCGCCACGTCGCGAAAACGCTCGTTTCGTGTTGGTTCGACTCGTATGCGTCCCGTTCACAAACACAATGTTCTAGCTCTAAGGTCGGAAGCAAACTGGTGGCCTGGGTTGCCCGCTTCGCATATATGCCGGCCTGGAGGGGGGGG